ATTGCCCAATGTCCCCTGACCTCTTGGCAAACTGGCTTTTTTTTTTCCCTTGATGCTCTAATGAGACATGAGAGGTTTATGACAAGTAAACAATAGGCCAGGCGCGGTGGCTCACGCCTGTAATCCAACCACTTTGGGAGGCCAAGGTGGGTGGTTCACGAGGTCAGGAGATCGAGACCACCCTGGCCAACATGGTGAAACCCCATCTCTACAAAAAAAGAAAAAACTAGCCTAAATTTTGCCAAATCCAGAATTTTAAAATATATCTTCATTTTCTTAGGCCTCAGCCACATGTGACTGAGTGCCCCTCTCAAACAATCCTTTTGGTTTGTGTGACTCAATCCAATTCTAGTTTCTGGGCTAATTCTGCAACCAGTGAAGTCAACCGTCAACTTTAAGAGGCAGGAACCACGTCTGGTTTTGCTCCCACTGTATCTCTAACATGGCTTGGCACACAGTAGGTGTACCACATATACATATGTTGAACAAATGAATGGACTTCTCCCTCTCTCCACTTCTGTCTCCAATGGACATCTCCCCAGGTCTCATACTTTGAGCCTCAATCTTATTTTTGGAGTCTGTATAATCACAAATGGTTTCCACTAATAGCAAGTTAGAGATAGTTACTATATATAGTTCATAGATGAACTTAGTCCTCTTTCTCTGACTTATAAATGACTATCAAATCTCCATATTACATTTCCATACTTGTATTATCTTCACCATTCTAACTCTTAAAATTGGTTTCCATCCACAATTGTTACTTCTAAATGTAGATATCCAGTCCTTACTTTCCAACTCAGCTGCTTCCTAGACACTTCCTCCTGATGTCCCCACAGGTATGTCAACAAAACACAACTTTACTACTTTCCCCTCATTACCTTTCTATATTCATCATTCTGTATTTGAGTGGAGCAAGCAACCACCTCCTTCCTTTTGTCCAGAAACCGAAGACATCACCTCTCCCTGAGGCTGCTGTATTAGACACAATGCTATTATTGTTACATGTATAATCTCATGTAATCCTCACACACCTTATGAGATACAGAAAATTATACACAAACAGGGGCTTGGAAGTTAACTACTCACTTGTACATTCAAGTTTTAGATGTTTTTGCTCAAAGCAATAGGGAGGAAAAAGTTTCAGATGTTCTCTGCAGAGGCCTCCCTGACAGCCCCACAGCCACTGCCTTAGTCTGTGTCAGATTTTCAGATGAACTATTTCAGAACTTGTTCCTAGTTTTCCAGCTTCAAGACTCATCACATGCACACTAACACTTTCCACATTAATCTTGCTAAAGAAACTATTCCTAACGTTCTGCTTGAAATCCTCAATAATTTGTCAAGACAAATCCTTCATAATCTGATCACTGCTTTTCCTTCTTTTCTTACCAGTCCTACATACCCCCACCCCTTCCTTCTAACATGACAACCACGGTAGCTGCAGTTCCATATTAGGCCTTGCTCTGTTTTTTTTTTTTTTAATCAAATTTAGATGGGATGACACTGACTGGTTTCATTGCTGGCAAAGCCACTTACATCGTTTCTCATCATGATTCCTTTAAATCCTCCCTGGCTCAACTTAAATCTTAGTCTCCCTTCACCTATTGAGTGACAAACTCCTTTCCAAGGCTCTCACAGCAATCAGTGCATTTATCTATCATAGCATACAATATATAATTACCTGTCTCAATTAGAGGTAAGGCCTCTAAAGAAATTGTACTTTTCAACTTTATTATGCCCAGGCCTTAGAAGCTGCTCAACAGTTTACTGAATTCATTCAGTATGGTATGGTTCCCAAAGGTTTTCAATGCCACAGACTCAACCTTATTAGCCTTTGTATTTTTATAACTTTACATAACATAACCAGTTACATGTGGAAATGTACCTTGCTTTGACAGTTGGCGGCAAATCAACCTGACTTTGTGAACTTAGGTGGGAGGGAAGTAGGGGCTGTGGGGAGAGTTGAAAAGCACATGGGGTACTTAGAAAAAATAAACATGTTTTTGTACACCTACACGTAATACTGCAAAAAAGATAAAAGGTTTAAAGTATACAGGGGCTGTAACTTAAGGCAGGACTGAGTGCTGAAGATAGATATCCAGACAACAGGTGGGGTGTAGTGGCTTGTGCCTGTAACCCCAGCACTTTGGGAGGCCGAGATGAGAGGAACACTCGAACCCAAGAGTCCAAGACCAGCGTGGGCAACACAGTGAAACTCCATCTCTAATTTTTTTTTTTAATATTTTTTTTTTTTTAAAAAAGGAAATGTAGAGAACACAACATAGGTTACAATGAATAAAAATGGTAGGCTACTGTAAAGTTCAGTGCAGTGGCAGGTGAACCAAGCTGGAAGAACAGGGTGGTAACATGACTAGAATTTGAATGCAAGATCTACTGCTTATTTCATTTCATTCGAAAATTGGAGTCATTAAGTTCAAGGGCTGTATTTAAAGAACTTACCTCACTGAATGGCAGGAGGATAAGGTGGTTAAGTGGGGCTGTATAGTATACGGAGCTCATGGTGCTTTCACTGGACTTCTGAAGCCAAAACTGGCCCAACTTCACCGGCTTTACATTATACCAGTCTTTCAAGTCACCATTTAATCTTCAATAGGCTAGCTTTACTCGAAAGTTTGGCAATGTAATGGGGACATTTCCCAATCTTTAATTTCAGAGCCTAAAATAATGCAAATTTGCTTATGTGAGAATACCTAATTCTGCCATAGAAGGTAAAAAATAAATGGCACAGATGAAACTCATGTACCATGGACAAAAAATTAACCCAACTATTTGATGTGCCAAATCAAATAACACATATATGGCAGGGACTCAAAGGGCCAATTAAAACAACTCATAGAACATAAAACACTCAAAAATCCAAGTCTTACTTCTGTAGCCCATCTGATCTTATGTGCACTCTGCCTAAGAAATATAAATTCCACAGCAACTCCGGACCCAACAGGTGTTGTGCCAGGCCTACTGCTTCCTGTCTCAATAGAACAAGTGTGGCACTAGCCCATCTTTTGTTGGATTGGGACCCATTGCCTAAACCCTGGCTGTGATCCTCAGGATCACATCAGATACCTGAGACCAAGGACACAAACATTCTGTAATCTAGAATTCACCAAGTACAATTTGAGTCCACCTGTTTGTACCCTATTATAAAAGTGCTAACCCACCCCTCTTTCCCATTGCTTCTCCCTGGGTCTGTGATTAACGAACTGTGACTACCAACAGCTTTATTAGGGTCAGTGCCAACTTGTCTCAATGCCTGATATTTTTTCCATACTGGGTTTCTCACCTATTTTAGTGGGTCCCCCCATCAATCAGGAATCAAACATTGGTAATGATGAAAGATTAGGTTAGAAAAGATCTTAAGTCAGTAGACTATTTGTTTTATCAAGCTTAAATGTAACCAAATTGCTGCTTTTTAAAGTCAAAGCAATTTCATAATCCTGAGCCTAATTATTACTAACTTTAGGTTGTGGTCACTGGAAAATAATCTATCTACTGTTCACAAGCCAATGAAAGTCACTAATTAGTCCTCCAGTTTACATGTAAACACAGGCACAGTTGTTTTAGTAAAAGTGACATCAATAAATGACAACTGGCTCAGGTGTGTGACCCATGCCTGTAGTACCAGTACTTTGGGAGGCTGAGGTAGGCAAATGGAGCTCTGCGCAACATGGCAAAACTCCATCTCTACAAAAAAAAACACAAAAATCACAGCCAGGTGTGGTGGTGTGTATCTGTAGTCCCAGCTACTCAGAAGGCTGAGGCAGGAGGATCACTTGACCTGAGCCAAGGAAGTAGAGGCTACAGCGAGCTGGGATTGTGCCACTGAACTATCTCAAAACAAGAAAGCCAACAAACGGCAACTGGACTCTAACAATACATCTTTAAAATACAGTCTCACATTTTGGGAGGAAGGACAAGAGAGATTTAATCAGCAGGGTTTCTTTGCAAGTAAACGCTCAGAAGCTGAGACCTGAAGGGTAAATAGGAGTTAAAACACAGGAGGAGGGGTAGCAATTAATTATCTAGCATGTTATAAAGCCATTCCAGGTTGCAAGTAAAAGTGATTCCCTTCCAAAGCCAGGTTAAGAACCTCAGATGTTAACCTAAACACAGTGGAGAATTTTAATTTAAATAGCATGACTTGGCTACATCACTATTTTATGGAACTGTTCTGGCATTCATCTTCCCTTCAACTGCCCCAGCAGTCCAGTTGTCTCTTCATTTCCAAAAAACTCAACCCTGTCAATAAACCACCAAGACTGGGAAGGCATGACAGTTAGTTTCAGTGCTTTAGCACAGAAATGCCCAATAATTACCAAGTTGAGGACTAAAAAAAGTCAACCAAGTAGTCCCACATTCTTGCCTTTAGTCTACAAATCTCAGGATTTATACTTGGTTTTCCTTTATTTCCTGCTCAATCCTTACTTGCATCCAGCCCTACTTTTTCCTCAAACCTACTTATTCTGAAGTTGACTCACACCTAGCAAGCTTTTTTCATTTAGCTAGCCACCTTACACACAGCCCACAAGCCAGATGTGCCAAGTGAGCACTACAGATACTAGGAAAACATCATCTTTTGAAAAACAGAAGTCTCCTAACTCCTATCCTTTATGTTTTCACTGGTACTCCCATGTGACTAATAATCACCCCCACTAAGTCATGAGTATAGCAGATGGAACATGCTACTAAAGGTAAACATCATGCTCTAATTTACTAGAACATCTTTAATACCCATCTGTGCCACATGAGCTGTGCTATTCTAATCTGCTATATTGTCTTCTAGTGCCCTGCTTCAAGGAATCCTAGAATTCTGCTTCTCATTGCCTTAAACCTTACAACCCCAGTCCAAAAATAAACACTCCAAAACAGTCACTTAAAAGTAAATATGATATTAAGTTGGCTCAGTCCCTAAACCTATAGTATTTCACTGATACTACAAGCCAAATTGATTAAAAGTACCTTAGCACACCCCAGACATGTATTTTTAAAACCAGAACATTTATTGCGTGACTAATCGGTGAAATCCTTAAGATGAACTGGATGCCGCAACAGCTGCCCTCTTGGGTTTAGGTGTTGTTCCTTCACGGAATCCATGCCTGCACAATGTCAAAAACAAGGACAATTTACTTCAGCATGTCGATAGATCAATTTTAATTTTTGTTAAACAAATTTCAATGCGCTTATCTCAGTTAAATGCTGAAATCAATAGCATTCATATGTTCAGACATTTATTTTTACAACATCACTGATAAGCTGCAATTCTATACTTCACTTTGCTTAAAGATAACCATTTTCAGATACAGTTAACCCCAATTCCAATAAAATCAAAAACTTTTTTGACTATACTAGTCACTGGGCCAGTATTTTACTCTTATTTGACAAAAGATCACAGATATTTGTGAAAATGGTTCCCTATGCTATGAGAATAGATCCCAACTGTTTTCACCAAGAAAAAATGAGCACATTTAATGGTAGACATTTTCAAACTACTAAGAACTTTGCATTTTAACTTATTTAATATCCACATCTACTCTAAAAAAAAGGTCAGCTATCCTTTTAAGATGAGTAAATCAAGGCACAGAAAAATTAAGTAACTTAAAGCCTGGCTTCAGTTCAAGCTCTTAACACTATATTGTACTAACAGACCACTCAACATTAAGCCCACAGAAATCTATGACCCTAAGTGCAAAGAAAGTTGCTTCAACACATGAACACACCTACATACAGGTGTCTACAAAGCCCTGAACTGCCTTGTTATCTTTTTAAAATTAGACTGAGTGGGTAAAGGATAGGGATTCTGCAAAATACTCAATTTTGCACTGGACAACCCCACCACAAATTATCCAGCCCAAAATATCAACATCAGAGAATTGCTGAAACAGAACACAGTAAGGAACGCCAGCTTTAAAGTTAAGTCTGCATCATTCTGAATCTCAGCTGAGATCTCAGATGGGTTAATCTCTTAGAAACTACTCCTAAACTGAGACTCTGCATTTCTAACTCTAAGGACAAGACTCTTGAATAACAAGAGTGTAAAGTAGCAGCAGCAACCAGGGCAGTTTTCTACAGCACTCTTGCCCACAGCCACAATACTGAAGGTTGAACCAAGCCTGACTCCAGACTTTATTCACTACTGTCTTGACAAATTTGATACCAAATAGGTATTCCTAATATCAACATTTTGGGACCCTAGCTCAAACAAAATGTTCCGGATAACTTATATTACTATTTAGTGAAAAAACTAATAAAATCCAAACTAACTGATCTCAAGGTTACAGTGACAAGATAAAAGCTTTCAAGATCTAGCCTGGAGTGGTAGCTCAGGCCGGAAATCCCAGCACTTTGGTCAGGCAGATGGATGATCCCATTCTTTACAGTAAACACAAAAATCAGCTGGGCGTCTGGTGGCGCACACCTGTAGTCCTTGATACTCGGGCGACTGAGGTGAGATCAACTGAGCCTGCAGTGAGCTGTGATTGTGCCACTGCACTCAAGCCTGGGCAACATAGTGAGACCCTGTTCTCAACAAAACAAAGCAAAAAGCTTCCAACATCTCATCCCCTGTAACCATCAGGGTAGTTATCGTTTTACAAACACAAGTTTCATTCAAGCCCATAGGACCAATTATGATCCAACATACAAACTGTACCTGAATCTGCGGTATACAATTTTTAGGTGCCTCATTCGACCAGTCCCGGTGGTATTTCGTCTTTTAGCCTTGGCACTCCAGTTATCTAAAACAGAAGTTCAGAAAAGATTTCAAGTGGTTTCCCCCACACACACACCTGGTAGGTATAGTTAGTTAATACACGAGTTTTACGCCAGCTCACCGCCATACAGATGAACAAGTTTTAAGTTAGGTACCAAATAAAGTTCAAACCCATGCCCCCACTTAAGTGCAATACAAAAACTAACACAGTTGGCCTAAAAAACGTTACTTACACTTTCTCTTGCGCTTGGCTGGGTAGCCACATTTGCCGCAGGTAGACTTCTGAAGGTGGTAGGCCTTAGAGCCACAGCGGCGGCACAACGTGTGCGTCTTATTACGACGCTTCCCAAACGATGACGTTCCCTTCGTCTGCACATTAAAGGAATAAATAATGCTGAAACCTAGCAATTTCTACATTTACCCGAGTTCTCCAGGAAACCAATTACTGATAAAATGTAAAGGCAATCATAAAGGTCGAAACTGTGGGAGAACCCTCCAAACTTTCGAAAAATGCCAAGTCAGAGACCATTACCAGTATTTCACGTTACTTAAAGCCCTCTGGAAGAGTTGCAATATTCTGAAATAATACCTTATCTTTAAAGACTCCTGCCAGTCAACATCACCAATGAATTCCTTCATTGTTACAGAGAGCCAAACACTCCCAAACTCGTTCCCTCAGCTCCTAAGGTTACAGCTGTGAAACACCCCCAAAGGTTGCACCGAAGCAAGGGGCACAGTACGGCTCCAGCTCCCTAATTAAGGCGAGCTCGGTCCCCCAGGCACCAGTTAGCAGCCGTTATTCTGGCTCTTGAGGGCCATCGTATGACTCTTTCCTGCCCACCAGTTCCCTTTGTCCGAAATCTTGCCGGACCCGCAAGGGCAGCAGACAGGGAGGCAGAAAGGACAAGGATGGAACGCGATCCACAGACAGCCACATAACAACTCACCATATTGCTTCTGCGACCGGGACCAGAAAGACCGGAAGAGAAGGCACTTCCGCTATATCACGCTCAGAAGCTTCCGCCGAGGCAAGTACTTCCTGCGTAACGCGGTGCCGCATTCTCAAGCGTCCGTCGCTGCAGAGTCGGTGGGGTCAAGAGGAGGATGCGGTGACATGTGCGGCCAATCGCGTTTCGGTGCCGGAAAGGTGGGCGGGACTTCCAGCTTGCTAGCGACCGGATGGCGAGTCCTTTTCGGGCTCGCTTGGAACACGAGTGGCGTTTAGATTGCAGTTCTACTTTTCGTGCTGCAGCTACTGCTGATCAGTTTCGTGCTTTAGCAGTCAGATCTTTTGCCATACTGTGGATTCCGGTCCTCGAGGCAGATGGAGAACCTGGAATGCAGGGTTGGCCCTGTCCTTACGCGCACTGACTGAGCGCTCCCCGGCGTGCATTAACCGTGTGCGCCTGGGATCATCCCCATTCAAGAGAAAGCAGCTTCTCTAGTAGCCTCCTCATTCCAACCCTGGAAGCTTTTGGCCGGCCCTGACTCCCTGTAAGAGGTCGCAAGGAGTACAGAGGCTTGGAGCTGGAGCTTAGAATGTAAAGGGAAAGGAGGCAAATCGTGATTTTTTTTTTTTTTAACTGTAGTAAATCAGGAGGCAAGTTATCTGATCCCATATTTCATTGTGCCAAGGAAACACATGGAACTTGTTCAGTATGGTTTCCGAAGGCCGGGCGCGGCGGCTCACGCCTGTAATCCCAGCACTTTGGGAGGTTGAGGTGGGCGGATCTCTTGAGTCCAGGAGTTGGAACCAGCCTGGGCAACAATAGGGAGACCCTGTCTTTAAAAAATAATAAATAAAATTAGCCAGGCGTGGTGGCCAGCGCCTGTAATCCCAGCTACTCAGGAGGTTGAGTTGGTGAGATCGCTTGAACCCGGGATGGGGTGGTTGCAGTAAACTGAGATTGCGCCATTGCACTCCAGCCTGGGTGACTAAGACTGTCCCAAAAAAACTTAAAATAAAAGGTTGCCAGAGCTGCTTTCGTTTCTTGGAGGCTCCAGAAAGGAGAATCTGTTTTCTTTCCTTTCTCAACTTGTACAGACTGCCCAGACTCCTTGGTTTACTGCTTACTTGCATTTTCAAAACCAGTGATATTGTAGTCCTCCCCCTTTCTGTGGGGTTTAAGTTCCATCACCCTCAGTGGATGCCGGAAACCACAATCCCAAACCCTATGTACACTGTTTTTTCTGTAAATGTATACCTGTGATGAAGTTAAAATTTATGAATTAGGCACCATACAAGATTAACAACAACTAATAAAATAGGACAATCATAACAATATACTGTACTAAAAGTTAAGTGAATGTGGTCGGTCTCTTTTTCTCAAAATATTGTCCTGTACTCACCTATTTTTAAAATATGGTTGACCATGGGGTAACAAACCCTGAAATCCTGCAAAGGGAAACCTTGGATAAGGGGAGACTACTGTAGTCTTTCTCACATTGCATTCCTCTCTATTGAGCATCCCTCTTATTCTTTTTCCTTTTTTTGAATTTTTATTTGTAGTGGAAACAAGATCTCACTATGTTGTCCAGGCTGGTCTTGAACTCCTGAACCCTCCTGCTTTGGTCTTCCAAAGTGCTGGGGTGCCCTGTCATCCCTCTCCTACTTTATTTATTTTATTTTTTTGATCCCTCCCTCCCAACTTCCCTCTCCTTTTTTTTTTTTTTTTTTATTTTTATTTATTTATTTTTTCCTCTCCTACTTTTAAGGCCCCTTATGATTACTGCCCAAACTCCTTGGTTTGGGCTCCACCCAGATAACTTCCTTATCTCAAGTTCAGCTAATTAGCAACCCTAATTTCCTCTGCAATTATAATTGTCCTTTGCCACATAACCTAATTTATTCACAGGTTGAGGGGATTACTACATTGTCATCTTTGGAAGCAGCCATTATTTTGCCTACCATGGGGGCAACGGAAAATGAAGTCAGTGTAGAAAGGGTAGGACAAGTGTCAACCATTAAGGAACCAAGCAGTGTGACAGGCATTATGTCAGTGTATTTACTCCAGACATTCCCAGAATCGAAGACAGGAGAAAGAATTATTTTTCCTCCACTCTCCGGTTCTTTTTGGTGTATGTAAAACCATGTAAATTTTGCCCTGGTTGGGTAAACCCTTGTCTTTCCAGAGGTCTATGAAGGCTAGTCAGACCCTCCAAGTTTCTATACAGTTGCTAGGTTTAGGTCAGGACTAGAGACTATATCACTTATTTTTTGAGACGGGGTCTCACTCTGTCACCCCAGCTGGAGTACAGTGACGCCATCTCGGCTCACTGCAACCTCCACCTCCCAGGTTCAAGTGATTTTTTTTTTTTTTTTTTTTTTGAGAAAGAGTCACTCTGTTGCCCAGGCTGAAGTGCAATGGCATGATCTCTGCTAACTGCAATCTCCACCTCCTGTGTTCAAGCGATTCTGCCTGCCTCAGCCTCTTAAGTAGATGGGATTACAGGCGCCTGCCACCACATCCAGCTAATTTTTTTGTTTTTTTTTTTTTAAGTAGAGACAGGGTTTCACCAGGTTGGCTGGTGTGGAACTCCTGACCTCAGGTGATCCACCTGCCTTGGCCTCCCAAAGTGCTGGAATTACAGGCATGAGCCACAGAGCCCAACCAGTTCAAGTGATTCTTGTGCCTCAGCCTCCCAAGTAGCCAGAACTACAGCTGGACGCCATCATGACCAGCTAATATTTTGTATTTTTAGTAGAGACAGAGTTTCACCATGTTGGCCAGACTGGCCTCAAACTCCTGACCTCCAGTGATCAGCCCCCACCCTCCTGCCGCCTGCTGCCTCAGTCTCCCAAAATTGTTAGATTACAGCTGTGAGCCACCACACCTAGCCAGGACTAGATCAACATCTGAAATGGATGCTGTAAGGTTGTTAGCCTAGGCATTCACCTGCTGACATTTTGCTTTTTGGCAGTGATAGAAAGTATGTTAAGTTCTGCATCCATGGTTCTGATACAGTCAAGTCTCTTGACCACCTGCACTCAGCACTGAGACCTGTCTCTTTTATTTCTACAATACAGAAATTAGTGTTGACTTTTGTCTTTAAAACATCACAAAGGTTGTAGTAAGTTCCTCTAGCCTATGCTCTTAAAAAAAAAGATCCTCATATGATATTCAAAATTAATATTAGAAAAAACAAAACTAAAAAGAAAAAAAAAACGACAAAAAAATAAAGTATAAAAAAATTAAAAAAATAATATTAGGTAAGAGTTGTTATTTATTTACCAATTATAATTGTATATAATTATGGGGTATACAGTAATTTTATATGTATGCAGTATGGAATGATTGAAACTAACATAAACATCACCTTCAGTAATTATACTTTATTCCTCCTGTCTGTGACTCCCGAAGTGCTATAATTACAGGCATGAGTGACCTCGCACAGCCTGGATTTTAAAATTCTTTTTTAACCTTAGAGACATCAGAATTATATTAATCATTATTCTTGGTTCCTAATAGCATTGGTTCATACATGTTCTGCTTTTATTTACATATTAGCTCTTTACCTTTAACAATATAGTAAGCCCCTATAAACCCAGCTCCTACGTTGTAGGCTATCCAGGATCTCCTCCCCAATCCCATCCCATTCCCAAGCTCCTCTTCCTTATGTGACATAACCATCATTCTGGATTTCATATTCATCATTCTTTGCTTTTTGTTTTATATAATTTTCATGACTTTATGTATATTCCTAAATGTATGTGTGTGTTTACTTTCAACTTTTAAAAAGGGTGCCATACTGTATATAATCTTTTGGGGTTTACAGTTTTTGCTTATTATTGTTATGATTTCTCTATATTGTGGGTCACTGACGTTCATTCTTTTTGAATGCCATATAATATTATGTTATAAGAAATATCAAAGTTTATTCATCCAGTGTCCTGTTGCTAGTTATGCAGATTGCTTTCAGGTTCTTGTGAACTATGAAACAGTAAATAAAGACCAACTAGATAATTTTCTTAAAATTAATAACAAAAAATGTAAAATATTAAATAGTAATGTTTAAAGTGGAAGTATAAATCCCCTTGTCATCATATTCCCAGAGATAACCAGTGTTAAAATTTGAGATATCTCTTTACTATCTTCTTTAAAATATAATGTATATCTGCATAAACATATTATATATATATATATATACTATATACACATTAATTTTTTAAAACAAAAATGACATCTACAACTTGCCGTTTCCATAGCAATATATTATGGATATCATTACTTGTCAATATGTAGAGATGCACTTTATCCTTTTTTTTCTTTTTTTTTTGTGATGGAGTTTGCTCTTGTTGCCCAGGCTAGAGTGCAATGGCACGATCTCTGCTCACTGCAAGCTCCTTCCCGCCGGGTTCAAGCAATTCTCCTGCCCCAGCTTTCTGAGTAGCTGGGATTACAGGGGTGTGCCACCACGCCCTGCTAATTTTGTATTTTCAGTAGAGATGGGGTTTCTCCAAGCTGGTCAGGCTGGTCTCGAGCTCCCGACCTCAGGTGATCCTCCAGCCTCGGCCTCCCAAAGTGCTGGAATTATAGGCATGAGCCACCGCGCCCAGCCACACTTTATCCTCTTTAACAGTTCTTTGGTGTTTCACTGTCGACGTGTCAATATTTATTCCCTAAACCCCCAGTGTTGGTTATTTTCAATTTTTTACTATTATAAACAATGTTGTAATGCAGATTCTTGTATATACATCTTTGGGCATTTGCTTATTTCCTTAAGATAATTTCCTAGAACTGAAATTCCTGGATTGAAGCATGTGAAGTTTTATTTTTATCTGTCTTCAACTCTATTTATTTATTGCTGCATATTGCCAGATTGCCCACCAAAAATCAATTAATAATTTACATTCTTGCCATCATAGTATAGTGCTCCAGGCCAGAAATACCTAGTCTAACCTGAAGTTCAAGAGCAACTTCTTGGAAGAGGTGACCCTCGGTCCAAGTCATGGTGAGAATTTATCAAGCCTTCAGAAAACCACATAAATAATCAACAGGGAGCCCAAATCAGAGAGTGCTCAGCCTGGGTTCCCCAACTGTGCTTGTATCTGCACTCACCAACACTAGGCATCATTGGCATGTTAAAGCTTAGCCAAATA